GGGGAGTTTCTTCAGCCGTACCTACTCCTCCTTTCCTCCTTTTCAGTTACCCGCAAGAGCAAATATTTACATTTACCTGGATAACACTTATAGACACCCATACCTACACATAATACTGAATCCCCCCATTTTATATTTCCCAGCAACTTTCATCAGGCTCCAGGCCTCACCTCACACTCCCAGAAACAACAATAATCTCCCCATTTAAATGTCCCAGCAATTTTAATCAAGCTCCAGATACTGACTGAATCTTGGAAGATACTCCACTTAATTTATTCTTACATTGTTACCATATAAACATTTGTTACTATAGCATTGTTACCATTTATACCTATAGTTTGCCACTGTTCATTTTCTGTGCATGCAGTTGTTTTATTATTGTCATTTAATGTGTTCTACCAACATTTCATGTACACAGTTATTAATATTTTGGGTGATATAATTTGGTTATTAATATTTTGGGTGATAGAATACAACAAATGTCTATTCTCCTGTAAGAAATTATGACCCTCTTACAAGGATATTCTTTTAGGGAATGTGTGACAAATAAGACATAAACACAAGTGTATAATAAAATGTATTGTAAATATTCATTTAAGGATACTGTTAGATTATAAAAGGATATACACAATATACATTATACATTATATCCGGTACATAATCAAAAGCTACATAATAAAAAGGCAATACTTAAACATTTAAATGCAGGTCTTCCCCTTGCGCCTTCATCTTGGGTAATCTGGGACAGCCTCTCTTAGTTCACCATGGCCCTGCTTGCTGCGTTGTCCTCTCCAAAGAGAGAGAGAAAGAGAGAGAGCCTTCCTTGGTTGTTGTCCTTTTAAAGACTGATTCTTGGAGTAATAAACTACAAGTCCCAGAATCCCTTTTCCCTCCCAAAAGTGGTTTATCCCACCCTCTTTCTCCAGAGAGTTCTGTCTTTACACAAGTCTTTCCCTTTGATCTCTTCCCTCCAGCTATACTGTAACGTTCTGAAAGAAGTGACCAGTTAGGGTTGGTTTCTGGGTGGGTTAGACTGCTTGGGAAAACACACACTTCCATGGTTACACCTAGATGTCTATTACTCTGATCTCCTGATAACATGCAAGGAATACTGGAGGGATGTAAGCTTTTGTTTTAGCTGGGTGTTGTAAAATGCAACTGAAAGCTTTGATCCTTATCACTCTGTTATCAAGTAAATGACCCCCAACTTGTGAAACCAGTCACATACACAGAAAGTTATATACAATATTGCAGTTTGGAATATCAATTTCTTACAGTCCCCACCTAGAGGGCGAATGACTCAACAAGAAAATGAGCCCTCTCAAATAAATACAGTATCTTTATTAAGTGTGTTTTAAATGATTATGTGTTTTACTGAGACACAAATGACTTGACAACCACATATATTTATAATTTAGGGTACTGCAAGGCATAATTTAGCCAAATCATTGAGGCACTCACAGTTATAATTTTTCAACATTAATTTGAACTCCTTCAGCCATATCCGTAACCTTTCCTTACCCTCATAGGCTCAGCATCACTGCAACCATTAGATTTCACTCCCATCACGCTCAGTTACCTGTGCCACCAGCACTGCTTCCACCACACTGTTCCTTTAACCCTGGCCTTGCTTACTTTGGGCTATTAGGCCTCTGACCTCTGCCCACCATGACACCTGGTGTATTTTCACACTAACAGCAGTTAATTTGCTGTTCACTTACATAGTGTATTAAAGAGACCACACAAGGGAGAAACATAGTTTATTGTTTGGAGTGGGAATCTGAGTGAAGGTGTTTGTGCACGTTTATTGGGAGTTTATTAAAAGTTGTATAGCTGGAGTGGGTTTGTGTTTGAGCCCTTGAGGATGTTTAATAAGTTTTCGATAGGCCCTTGGCTTCCGGAAATTAAAAGATTCTTAGCATAGAAAGTGCGCAGTGTTACATTATGCAAATCACTAGTGGTTTGATTATCATCCTTGTCTCAGTATTACCGTCTGGATTCACAAGTGGTCATCTAAAACATTGTAAACACAAATGTGAGCAAAATGCAACCAGTATTAATGTGTAATAAGGGATACGTCCTCATAACAGTATGAAATAATTTACTATAACCTTACTAAAACCATAAATATTTAACCCCTTGTGGAAAACCAAATAGAGCAAATAGAAAATGCAAAATCATATATTGTCGCTCACCCCACCTTGACTCAAAACAATATAAAATATACAAAATTGTCTAATTTGTCTATACGCTGTACCCCACCTTGAGAGTATAAATTAAAACAAAAACAAACAAAGAATAACCATTATCATTCTTTTGTTCACCCAACCTTGACCTAAGGAAATGTAAAATATATGCAATTATCTGTTTTCCCTATATTCCCTTTAGAGTGTGAAATACAATAAAAAGCATAAGAAAACAACAAAATCAAAGAAGATGGAGAGAGAAAAAAGTAGATTGAATGCTACCATCACCTATGGGCATTGAACTGTATACAAAGTTTGGCAGCGTGCAATCTAAAAGAAAACTGACAATGGTCTGTTGCCTTTCAAAGATTAAAATCAAAAATCGGCTTGAGGCTAGTTATGTTGGTAACCAAATGAAAAAAAAAAAGACAAAACCAAAAATATTTACTGTTGTAAACCAACAGACAGTTACACTATCACATCTCTCCAGTGTGATCAACGTATAAGCCTCACGTTAGCAACAATTCATCTAATCTAGAAATATATAAAATTAGTAATCCAGTATCAAAATACAAAAATAAAACATAGCTGGAAGTGCAGGTGTGCTAAACTAATAAAAACAAAAATAATTTGGAATTTGGACCACCTGACTGTAATGAATGAATTTAGAGGCTTATCCTTAATATGAAATAAAATATCATAAAACTACATATTAAGGTCCTCTATAAACTGGAACTGTATTTTTCCTGAAATAAATAAACATGTTAAATTGTTGGTCTTCTCACAGGTCTATATTTGTCTTCCTTCTCAATTGGCATCGTCTCCGTAGTTTTCTAAAAAAACAAACTTCAAGAGAAAGTTAATACCACACAACTAGAATAGGTCATTCAAGAAAAACTGTATCTGTTATCAGATTCTTTGTGTTAACCATCTCCTCTAATGTACTTAATTGTGCCTTGAGACAATCCAGTTTTTCAAGGAACTCATTTCGTTCACATGTTAGAGAAAGATTTTCTGCCTTTAGTTGTGTATTCTGTGCTTTAAGCACATGGTAGGGAATCCAGGGTCCTGTGAGGGGGATACCATTATTATCTTTTCTCTGGGATCTCCACCTAGGGTGATTATTTTTATTTCCCAGAGTCCATCTATCACACATGGGCCTTTCATGATGAATATGCACATCTGATTTACAAAATTTTTCAATATGTCCCATCCTACCACACTTAAAACATGTAATGGATTTTATATGTGGGGACTTTCTCTGATTGATATATCTGTGAGGTTGGGGACTTTGTATCAATGACACTTGTCTTTTATTTACTTTTTCTTGATTTAGTAAAATTGCTTCAGCCCTTCTTAAGCAATTCAGTATATTTACAAAGGTGTCCTGTGGGGACACAGTTAAACCAATTGACTCTTGAATATCTGGCAGTGTCCTATTAAGTAATGCTTTCTTATATGCATATTCATTCTGATCAGCATGTGCTCCAGGTGGAACAGTCAGTTTGAATAAAACAAATAACCTATTTACAAACCCTTGAACAGACTCCCCTCTCTTCTGAGCACAATTACCAAAAGCAAAATGATGATTTATTTCCTCTAGACCAAGTGCGTTTAATAACTCTTTGATAAGTTGTTGCTTGGTTCTAGGTTCTATAAATATCTCATGTGGCAGACTTGCTCTTAGTGACTGGTCTGTAATAGCAATTATAACATCAAAAATATCCAATTCATTTAAGTTTCTGTGGATTTTTTCAAATTGATCAATTTTTAACATTACATCTACTGGATCATCATCCAAGCGTATACATCCCAGTTCTTTGCTCAGTGCAATAACCTCTGTATGTTTTAAGGAATGGGTCACAGTAGTTTTATGTAGTACATTTCCCTGTGCATCCACCATGTGCTCTGTAGAGACTGGTGCCATTTTAGCAGGAATACTGCACTCACAATTACTATAATTATTATGAAACACCTCCATTTTTGTTGTACACAAACCTCCACAATTGGTTTTCAGCCCATATTTAGTAGCAGCAAAACCATTTCTTTTTGTTAGTTTACATTTTAAATCATCAATTTCTTTAAGGCACACAGAATGATCAGCCTCCTTCTGGCTGCTGGAAGCAAAGATTCTAATAGCACCCTCTGCATCCTTCAGCCTTTCTACAAGCTGCTCATTACAACTGTGCAATTCCTCATTTTCAAGACTCATTTGCTGACTACCTACACACAAAGCAGCAGCATTTTGCGCAGACAGTTTAAAACCTTCCACTTCATTCTTTAAGCTCAAAACATCTGCCGCTAATTTCTCTTTTTGCCTATTTAAAGATTTATACTTCTCCGCAATCCAACGGGCAGCATAAATCAAAGCAATTTTACCACTAGATTTGGACAATTTCTTTTCAATAATTGCCCTGGCCACATAATCCTGAGCATTAAGCCACGGATCTAATGCACCATCCATACATTTAATTATTGCTTCCGGATTAGACACCTTAGCAATCTTTTTCAATAAACTCTCCATCATTGACAACGCACAATTCACTGAAATGTCTATACACAATATCTGAACAGTATCCAAAAGTAAATATACAATCTATACAATTATGAATATGCTTATAAATCACACTAAATCCCTCCTACCTCGGCTCGCCAATTTGTAAGAAATTATGACCCTCTTACAAGGATATTCTTTTAGGGAATGTGTGACAAATAAGACATAAACACAAGTGTATAATAAAATGTATTGTAAATATTCATTTAAGGATACTGTTAGATTTTAAAAGGATATACACAATATACATTATACATTATATCCGGTACATAATCAAAAGCTACATAATAAAAGGGCAATACTTAAACATTTAAATGCAGGTCTTCCCCTTGCGCCTTCATCTTGGGTAATCTGGGACAGCCTCTCTTAGTTCACCATGGCCCTGCTTGCTGCGTTGTCCTCTCCAAAGAGAGAGAGAAAGAAGAGAGAGCCTTCCTTGGTTGTTGTCCTTTTAAAGACTGATTCTTGGAGTAATAAACTACAAGTCCCAGAATCCCTTTTCCCTCCCAAAAGTGGTTTATCCCGCCCTCTTTCTCCAGAGAGTTCTGTCTTTACACAAGTCTTTCCCTTTGATCTCTTCCCTCCAGCTATACTGTAATGTTCTGAAAGACCAGTTGATTAGGTTTCTTGGTAGATTGGACTGCTTGGGAAAACACACACTTGCATGGTTACACCTAGATGTCTATTACTCTGATCTCCTGATAACATGCAAGGAATACTGGAGGGATGTAAGCTTTTGTTTTAGCTGGGTGTTGTAAAATGCAACTGAAAGCTTTGATCCTTATCACACTGTTATCAAGTAAATGACCCTCTTGTGAAACCAGTCACATACACAGAAAGTTATATACAATATTTCAGTTTGGAATATCAATTTCTTACACCTTCATCTGTATATGTCCCAGAAGTCTAGTGAGTAGGACATGGAAATTAGTTGACCATACAATTCTGGATCAGTTGGTGAAGGTGAGGGAGAAAGAAACACATCATCTCAGCAGTTTCAGATGTATGCCATTCCTGTTCCTGTGTGGATGAGACTTTTTATCCCTAAAGTCTAGTGTGGCTTTATGTAGACGATAAAAAGTAATACCCTGTTTTGATTATGTATCACAGTGTAATGCTAGAACAGTGTTATGGCACACTGCAGAACAAGGATGTTGTGTAAAAAAATATGTAAAATCATGGAGCGACTGAAAAAAAACACAAGAAAAATACATATTGTTCTCAGGGCTGCAGCATGAATATGGTTGTAATTTTAATGTTTCTTGCTGAAAAAAGGTCATCTTTGGCGAGGTCGGGTTTTTCTTAAGGTCATTTCACATTGAGATATCTGCCTGCTTTTGACATTTCATCTAGAAGAGGCACAAATATTCTGACACATGAAATGGGCTCTTTACAAACCCAATGGCTATTTCTATCAACATCTGTTATTCTCGCACAAAAGGGGAATATGCATTGATTGCAAAGAAGGCTCTATGTTTTTAAATAGAAAAATACTACAAAATTCTTTCCTTAAAGGGGCGGTAAAGTCCACTTAAAATATTCTGAAGGAAATTAAGAAGGAAAAAAAAAACGCATTACCGGAAGCAAACATATACAAATTTTATTGTAAGTCAGTCATTATACTGGGATATGAGTAAGAGAGAATACCCAGTTTTATTAATCTATTTTATTAAATATTGCCATTGCTTTTAGAAATATAGTTTTTGATGAAAATAATGTTCAGTCTTAATTCTTGCTAGAGGAGATGAACAAAAGATCTTTGTGGAGGATATGAAAATAATGTGCTTGCAAGGGTTAAAACCAGATGTGTGGTAACCCTTTCACTACCAAATCTATTGCACATTCATACATTGTCACTAGGAATTTGAAAAACATTTACTAAAATCTGGGAGTAAACAATGAATGAAATGTATAATAATTATATGTTTTTTTGGTCTGTACAATTGCATCTCTTTTGTTGAAGCGGCACTCACTCTAAACCAAAATAAGCATTACAGTTCGCTGTAGTGATTATGTTGTCCAAAATAAATTGGTGATGTCCAAAACTGTTTAAAGGGACACTATAAGCACCCAGACCATTTCAGCTCATTGAAGTGGTCTGGGTGCAGTCACCCTGTCCTCTTCTTGCAGTTTCTGAGAAACTGCAATAATTGCATTGCAGGACTAAGACATCCTCTAGTGGCTGTCGATCAGACAGTCACTAGAGACACTTCCTGCTTGCTAGGCCGATTTTGGCCATCCTCATGCTCTGTATGAGGTCATCCAGCCTCAATTAAATCCCCATATGAAAGCATTAGCACTCCCCCCATCAGGTGACGTCGGAAATGGTGGAGCACCAACCCAGCACAGAGGGAGATTGGCGCTGGACTCAGGTGAGTAGAGTAAGGGTTTATTAATGCTTACACTGCCGTGGAGAGCCACGTGGGAGGAGGGAGACCAGAGGAAAGTATAATGCTAGGAATACAAATTTGCATTCCTAGCACTATAGTATCCCTTTAAGAAACCAGAGTTCTTTCCTGGTTGCATTGGTAATGCAATATTATCACTTCTGCATTATTGAGGTAGTTTTCACAAACTGGATGGCATTGGTCTAAGGGATACTCCAAGCATCACTAAAAGTATGATAGTTTTGTGATAGGTGTTTAATGGTTTTGGCCTTATTAATATGCTGTATTTTTTTGCATGCTTAAATCTTTATAGCTTTTCACAAAAAAATAAATGTTACATATAAGCCTGCCTCCTTAACCACGCCCCTCTCCAGAACAAAAAAGACTTACTATGCAAAAAATGTATGCAAAAAGCTCAGCCACTGAGAACACTAATGTGTACTACCACGTCAGACTGGATTCTCACCTCTATAGGCTGTCTATTGTAACCCATGGAACAGCGCAGCTAAGGGGAGTGGGCCTTGACATAGCTAGGAAGCGGGCATATGTAGAGGTGGGGTTAGTGGTCAGGTGGTCACTAGGGTGTGGCTGTAACTGGATTTCAGATATTAACGGACATTTTAGATTAGGTGCCATTTTAATTAATCACACTTACCTGTTGTTGTCCCACCCTCCCTCCCTTATATTTTGGTTTGGTGTTCTTTGTTTATCCCGTTGGGTCACAACGGCAGGGGCTGGATAAGATATTGGGGGTAGGTAGTTTTTGGTAGTTGTGATGTTTGGTTTGGTAACAATATTCACATGGTTGAATTTGTTTATTGGCAGGTTGGAGCCTGTAGGTGGTTCTCAACCTGGTGGTGTAGGTGTGTCTCGGTATGCCCCTACAATGTAAAACTGGTGGTGTAGGGGTGTCTAGGTATACCCCTACAATGTACAACTGGTGGTGTAGGGGTGTCTCGGTATGCCCCTACAACTTAAATCGGTAGGTTGGAGCCCGTAGGTGGTTCTCAACCTGGTGGTGTAGGGGTGTCTCGGTATGCCCCTACAATGTTAAACCATTTGGTGTATAAGGCCTGTTGTGGCCATGTCGGTTATGTTATTCATGTATGGTTATATGTTTATTGTTGATTATGTTATGGGTCATTGCCGGTGGGTTTAGTACTGTTAACCCCTTCAGGACGGAGTCAATAGTACACGTTCTGTTCAAAACAAAATGTAAACAAAAACTGGAATTTACGCTATATGTCTGTTCAACCGTAATTCACCTCTTTCATATTAAGTGCACCCACACTTATTATATATCATTTTGTTCAGGAGAAACTGGGCTTTTATTTCTCATGAACTATTCATATTTGAAACATAATTTATTATGAATAAAATTAAAAAAACTGTGAGAAATTAACAATTTTAAAAAGTTAACAGTTTTACGGTGTTTTGGGAAGTTAAAGGGTCAAATACAGCACATTCCATTTTTCAGTTTTTTCAAATTGAAATTCGCCAGGTTGGTTATGTTGCCTTTGAGACCGTGTGGTAGCCCAGGAATGAGATTTACTTCCATGATGGCATACCATTTGCAAAAGTAGACATTCCAAGGTATTGCAAGTTGGGTATGTCCAGTCTTTTATAGTAGCCACTTAGTCACAAACACTGGCCAAAGTTAGCGTTCATATTTGTTTTTGAGTGAAAAAAGCAAAAAAACTAATATTTGGCCATTGTTTCTAAGTGGCTACTAAAAATGACTGGACATACCCCATTTGCAATACCTTGGGTTGTCTACTTTTTCAAATGGTATGCCAGCATGGGGGTAATTCTCATTCCTGGGCTACCATACGGTCTCAAATGCAATGTAACCAATCTGGCAAATTTCAATGTGAAAAAAATGAAATGCAAGCCTTATAGTTGACTCTCTAACTTTCCAAAACACCATAAAACCTGTTATACTTGGGAGACTTCACTGAACACAAACATAAGTGTTTCAAAACAGTAAAACATATTACAACAATAATGTGTGAAAAATGCAAAAAACTTAACTTTTACTAAATATATCATCATTGTAATACAATTTTTCATTTTGAAACACTAATATTTGTGTTCAGTGAAGTCTCCCAAGTAAAACAGTACCCCCCATGTACAGGTTTTATGGTGTCTTGGAAAAGTTACAGGGTTAAATATAGCGCATGTGAATTTAATTCTCCGCACTTGCTGTTGCTTCCTGGGTTGTCAATCAAATTTTAATTAATTAAATCACATAATTATGTTAAAATATTACTTAAGCATACACGTAGAATTTTTATATATATATATATATACATAGATATGTATTTAAATTCTATGTGTATACTTATGTAGTTATTTATGTAATTATATATATTTATCTATATATAAATATTTGCAGTTATTTGTATTTTATATATAGATAGATATATATAGAATGTCATTCTAAGTGTATTTTGTTACCAATATATATATATATATATATATATATATATATGTATTAATAACAAAATACAGTTAGAATGAGATTACATATGTATATATAATTTTTTTTTAAAATTTTTTTAATATTTTATTTATTTTATTATTTTATTTATTTACTATTGTAATTAAACGTCTATATATAAACATAAAATATATATATGTATTATATATATATAATATATATCTCATATATATATGTAACATCATTCTAAGTGTATTTTAAGATTAATATATATACTTATATTAACGTTAAAATACATTACGTATCACGTTACATATATATAAGATGTATATATATTAGATATATAATATATTTTTTTTTATATACATATAAATACATTTATTTTATTTTAAAACATGATTAATTATTTATTTATTTTTACTTTCCCACCAGCAGGGGGACTGTCTGACATTTCAGACAGTCTCCCTGCTGGCAGATCCACAGCCAGCTATAGGTGGCCATATTTGCCGGGGGAGGGCTGCCTGTGCTGTCAGGCAGTCCTCCAGAAGAGGATCGCGGTGGAGGTGAGTACCGCGGACCTCCAGGAGCTGAAAGCTGGGACGGCATAGAACGCTGTAGCAGCGTTATGGGTTTAAAGTTGGGGAAGTATGTGTTATGTGAAATTCGGAATGTTTGGCAATGACCCAATTTGTTATTTATATATTTTATTATATTTATAATTTATTAAAGCTGTGTCAAATTTTATCCACTTTATAATTGGTGTCTGT